GGGGCATCACCACGGGGGGCTTGGCTTTGGGCACCTTCCCCTCACGGGCGGGCTCCTTGGGGCCGCCGGGCTCCTCGTGCCCCTGCGCCCAGCTGGGCGACCTGGAGTGGCCGAGGGGCCGGGGGGCTTCTTCCCCAGGGCCCCCCCGGCCCCGGTGGGCGTTGATGGCCGACTCGATGGCCTGGAAGATCTCGTTGCCCTGGCGGGTGTCGAACTCGAAGTTGCCCTCCCCGGAGGTGCAGCGCCGGCCGGCCTCGAAGGAGAACGTCACCTGGGAGGGGGGACAGACACACAGCATCAATCCCTGCATCCCAGTCCGCTCTGCCCACACCCACACAGAGTCACTGAGCTTGGAAAAGAGCTCTGAGATTGTCGAGTCCCACCTGTGACCCAACCCCACCTTGTCACCCAGACCATGGCACTGATGCCACATCCAGGCTCTGCTCAAACACCTCCAGGGACGGAGAATCCACCCCTCCCTGGGCAGCCCATCCCTCTCTCTGGGAAGAACTTCTTCCCCATGTCCAACCTAAACCTCCCCTGGGGCAGCTCCAGGCTGTGCCCTCATGTCCTGGGAGAAAAGTCCGACCCCCCTGGTTTCCCCTCCTGTCAGGGAGTCCTAGAGAGGGATAAGGTCTCCCCTGAGCCTCCTCCTCTCCAGGCTGAACAACCCCAGCCTCTCCCCACAGCACTTGTGCTCCAGACCCTTCCCCACCGACCTTGTCCCTCCCGAAGCGCCGGAGGAAGCGGTAGGGCCAGCTGTAGAGCAGCTCCGAGCTCTGGAGGTGCCGCAGCTCCAGCGCCTCCTCCCCGGCCCGCAGGATGCAGCGGCCCCAGAGCCGGCAGCGCTGCGACGACTGCGTGGCCCTCACTGTCACCTCGAACTCCTGCTCCAGGCCGGCTGCAGGGGGGGGAAAAAGGGTGGGATGGGCACCTCCCACCCCGGGGGGCTCAGGACCCTCCCTGGCCGGGGCAGTGTCCGGCTGATAAGGGCTGGAGGGCTCCGGCCACGGGCGATAGCGCAGCAAAGCTGGCCCTGCCAAACCGCAGCAGGAAGGGGCTGTTTCGGGAGGAGACTTCCCACCACACAGCCGGGAGCTGGGCTGGGAGCTGCTCCCCGGCACCAGGAAGCACGAGGAAGCACGAGGAAGCTCCCTGGTGCAGGTGGGGATGAGGGGCTGTGGGATAAAGCGCTGCCTCCCACCCCAGCAAACCCCCGCCCGCTGCTCCGTCCCCACTTCCCGCTGCCTACCTTTGCCCCGGGAGCTGTACAGGGAGTTTTCCTCCATGGAGAACTCTCCATCAGTGCCCAGCGAGCTTTGAGGGCCGTCCCTGCCCGCTGCCTGCTCCTCCCTGCTCCTCTGTCCGGGAGAGAGTGGCTGGTGAGTGAGGGCAGAGCGTGGCTTGGACACCTCAAACTCTACATGATATAAAATCTCAGCGTGGCTCTTTCACCCCTTTTCAGCCAAGCACCTTTGGTACAAGACATCTGAAATTGTTCTTTGATGCTCCCTGTCAAGAATTCCGGCGGACAAAGGTTTGAGTGAGGTGAAAAAAACACCTTTATCGGGGAAAATGTGCTGGGAATGCGGAGTAACAGGGACACCCCACTGGATACGGCCAAGCCAAAACTACTCAGAAGCCTCGAAGGGGAGCACAGATGGTGAGGGTGATGAGGGCTGGGAGGAAAGGCTGGTGGTTTCAGGACCACCGACTCAAATTCGGGAGGGTGGCACGGCGGGAGGGATGGTTTTGGGGATGGGTGTAACCCGTGAGGCAACGCCCAGGTACCACAATTAAATATTGTGTTAGACATTATGTTGATATAATGTTGTTACAAACATCATAAAGGCCTCTGCTCTGTGTGTGTGTGTGTGTGCAACCAAAGAGCTGCTTCTTGCCTTCCTACACTCAGAACTGCCCAGAGAACTATTTCCCCCATTTTAAAGGCAACCAACACCCCCACGGATCCCCACCCTGGGGGATCCCGGTTATCCTACCGGGAATGCCAGCTCGCACAGCCTCTGGATCCCCCATGCCCCCCCCCACCCCGGGGGATCCTGGTTATCCTACCGGGAATGCCAGCTCGCACAGCCTCTGGATCCCATGCCCCCCCCCACCCCGGAGGATCCCGGTTATCCTACCGGGAATGCCAGCTCGCACAGCCTCTGGATCCCCCATCACACCAACACCCACACTGACTCCCACCCCGGGGGATCCCGGTTATCCTACTGGGAATGCCAGCTCGCACAGCCTCTGGATCCCCCGTCACACCCACACTGACTCCCACCCTGGGGGATCCCGGTTATCCTACCGGGAATGCCAGTTCACACAGCCTCTGGATCCCATGGGCCCCCCCACCCTGGGGGATCCCGGTTATCCTACCGGGAATGCCAGCTCGCACAGCCTCTGGATCCAGTCGGCCGCCTCAGCGCTGTCAGCAGCCAGGAGGAAGCGCCTGTCCGTGGTCTCCAGCAGGAAGGGGACGGTGTCCTTGGGACAGGTGGCATCGCCCCCC